CCAGAGCAGGAGAGGAGAGGAGAGGAGAGGAGAGGAGAGGAGAGGAGAGAAGAGGAGAGGAGAGGAGAGGAGAGGAAAAGAGACGAGGCGAGACGAGACGAGACGCTGGGAAGGAAGGGGAGAAAAGGCGAGGACACGATGTTTGAGACCTTGAGGACTGCGATTGACCAGGCAATGTTCGAAAGTGCCTGAGCGTTGAAGTCTTTGGCCTGCATCATGGTCTGCCGGGAGCGGAGGAGAGTCGTTGCGACATGCCCCAGCAGCTCGCTGTCTTCCACGTTGAGTACAGCGAGAGCATGAAAGATGTTGGCGATCGCGTGCGCATCGAAGGCGGATGGCGACATGTCCTGCACGTCATCAGAGCCGCGCGTGAGCAGGAGCGCTTCCTACCATGGCGACCTTGGAGAGCCTCCGGAGAAGGGGGAGGTCGCGTATCCTGAGCTGCGCGTATGCGTTGAGCAGGATGCCGATCTTGGAGGCTTCGAACTGATGGGCAGACATGGCCTGGAGGAGGAGCGACATGTGGCCGAACAGCTCGGCGTCATGCACGTGCGCCTTGGCAAAGGCGTTGACGATGTTGACCACGTCCTGAGGGCTGCAAGGAATCTCGAAGTTCCTCTGGCCCATCTGCTGCGCCACGCGGCTGAGGTGAGCAAACATGCAGCTGTCCTGCATGCCGAGCTTGGCGAAGGCGTTGACGATGAGCGCGACGCCCTGCGCGGAGAACTGCTGCTCGGAGAGACCCGTGACTATGCGAGCCTGCCAGAGCTTGAGCGTCTACCTCCCTTCCCACCATCAAGGGAGACGAGGGCAAAGTGAAGAGAGACAGGAAGGAGGAGGAAGCAGGGGAGGAATGAGCCGCACCAGACGTCGGAACAAAGTTTTGAGCGAGGTGTAGGCTGCAGGAGCAGCATCTGCGTATCTAGTCCACGCCTGAAAGCAGAGTCATCTGCTTGTCTTCCCTCGCTCCCTCTCTCTACACCTGCGTGTTCTTGGCAAACGCGTTGACGATGTTGGCGATGCTCTGAGCATCGAAATCTTGATCCGGAATCTCCATGCACAAGAAGCACATGCGGCGGAAGAGAGCATGATCTCTCTCGCCATTCTGATTGGAATCAGAGGCTGGAGGGACGGCAGCAAGTCACCTTGGCGAAGGCGTTGGCGAGCATGGCAATGGTCTGAGAGGAGAAGGCAGGGGGAGGCAGAAGCATCGCCTGTTGTGAGATCCACCTACTCGACATAGTCAGCAGAAGTTCAGAGAATGGGAGAGAAAGAGAAGCAGGCAGGAGAGATGAAGTAGCAGAAGAACGGGGAACAGGAAAGACAAGAAGCTGAGCCCCATGGAGTGGGCAGGGAGGAAGGAGGAGAAAGGGAAGGATATGAACGAAAAAGACATCAAACCTGAAGAGAGTTGAATCTTTTAATTCTGCCTGAGGTCGGTCCAATTTCAGCAACAAGAGATTGATGTGGAAGGAGGGTAACTAGTGTTGTCTCCTGCTTTCTCAAACCTCCTTGTACTCGTACCGTCCCTCCTTCCTCCTTCCTCCTCCTTCTTCCTTCAATCATCCTCCTTTCTCTTTCTTCTTCCTTCAATCATCCTCCTTCCTCCTCCTTCCTCTTGATGCTCATCTTCTCAATCCCTTACCTCCCTCCCTTTCCTCTAATGACTCATTTCATCTCCTCCATGTGCATTCCCTTGTCTTTTCGCGTTCCCTTGTCACTCCTCTCCTCTCCTGCACCTTCACGTGCATCCTCACCTTTGCAAACGCGTTTGCAATCAGTGCAAGGGGAAGGGCCGATGCTTCAGAAGGCTGCACCATGGCAAGTTTGCCGAGATGCGACAAGAGCGCACTGTCCTTGTTTCCCAGTCTGACCTGCAGCAGAAGAGACGAGCAAACAAGTCAGAAGGACGAAAGACGGGAGGAAGGAGAGGGAACGATGCTAACGAAGGAGGAAGGAGAGAGGAATGGTGCGGAAGGAGGGATGCTGTTACCATGCCGTTAGCAATGCAGCTAATGTGCTGTAGACTTGTGTCTTGAGGTTGAAACCTCATGACCACCTGATGAAACAGTAAATCATCTTTCCCCCGTCCTCTCCCTCCGATCCCGGTCCCCTTCTTCTTTCCTCCTCCTCCTCCTTGTACGCACATTCGTCAACAGTCTGATCAGGTCGACGCTCTCAAAGTTGGCGTTGGCGCAGGCGTTGACGATGTTGGAGACGGTCTGAGACGATATGGCTCCTTCTGCTCCTCCTCCCGCATTTGACATCTCCGACTCGAAGTGCTGCTGCAGCACAACAGCAAGGGAGGCGAATAGAGCGATGTCTTCCACCCCCTCACGCGAGTAGGCGTTGAGGATGAGAGCAGCGGACTGGGGAGAGAAGCGGGAGGGAGTGAGCTTGCCGAACCTCTTCCAGTACCGCAGCACCACCGACATGTGCTCCAGCACTTCCCTGCTCTTCACCCCCGTGCGCGCGTACGCGTTGAGGATGGTAGCGATGTGCTGGCTGGTGAAGGAGGAGTACTGCATTTGAGTGAGAATGTCGGCAAACTCCTCGAACAGCCAGGGATGCTTCACGTTGGCCCGCGCAAAGGCGTTTAGAATGTTGGCAACAGCCTGCGAGTCGTACACGAGCGCCCCCCTTACCACCAGAGCATGTCCGAGCGCTTTCTTGCGCGATGGAGCTGAAAAACTATGAGAGAGACAAACGATGTAGAGAAGGAGAGGAAGAGGGAGGAGAAGCAGGAGAAGCAGGAGAAGGAGCAGGAGGAGCAGGAAAAGCAGGAGACGCAGGAGGAGCAGGAGACTTCAACACATGGATGGTGCAAGAAAAGGGAAGACAGCGAGATAAGGTTGAGGACAAGGAACAAAGATAGTCTTGACATGTTGCAAGGCAGGGGAAAGGAGAGAGAAGACAAACAGCAGGGCACCTGAGTTTCCTCGCTTCAAGACCTCTACCACCGCAAGGTATAGATCCTTCCTGACCACCCCTACCTTTGAAAATGCATTCACAATCAGAGCAATCGAGCGAACTGCGTCTCGAGGAGGCTCTCTCAGTCTCTTGAGGAGCTGGAGTGTGGATTCTGCCATGCTGTCGAAGAAGAGCAGATCACATTTCTTCACGTCCCATGCCGAAAGTTCCTCGTTCCTCTCCAGGAAGCGTGAGTACGAGTTGAGAATCATCGCGATGCTCTGCAGCGAGTGCCCCTGCGGCTGGATCGACCGCGCGTCCTCCCCGAGCGAGCGAAAGAGATCGCGCGGCCAGATGGACATGGAGGCGAACGAGTTGAGGATGGTGGCAAGAGCCTGAGAGTCGCGCACTGCGATCCTATTCTCCCTCATCATCTCCTCCGCGACCTGTTGAAAGAAAGCTGACGCGAAGGCCTCGGACGAGCAAGAGCTCCTGGCCAGCGAGTTGAGCATCATGGCGATGGACTGCGAGCTCGCCTCCTCATCCATTAGCTCCCGCAGGTTGTCTGTTGCAGCTACGCATGCAGTCTTGAACAGATCCATATCAGCCTGCGTCAGGTTCTCCTTCACAGCGTTGAGGGCGAGGGCGAGGGACTTGAGCGGGAGCTCCCGCGCATGCTGCCGGACAACCTGGACGAGACTTGCGCGCATGGACCAAAAGCTGTCGGAGGTTGCGTTGGCTCCTCGGATCTTGTTGAGAACGTACGCGGCGTTCTTGCCCGCAAGAGGAGAGCTGCTGTAGCTTTTGTCCATCAGGATCGGCATCACGTTTTCAAGGAGGTCGTCGGGGCTGCTGTATCTGTCCAGGCGAGGAAAGCTGTAGTTAGTCTTCCAAGAAGAGATGTCTGCTTGCACCTCCCCTGTGAATCGCTTCACGCTCATTGAGCGCTCCACATTTGCTATCACTTTCACGGGCATGCTCGCTTTCTTTGTTTGCTCTTTGGCGTACAACCTACATGACTGAGAGCATCGCAGCGGCTTGTTGCCATGCTTCGCTGTGAATAAAACGTTCTCCACAAACCCTCCATGCGCTAGCACCACATTGGATAACCACAAGAAACTGATTGCAACCACTGAGCTTGGCCGCATCTTGAGGTTCAGTTTTGATATCAAGTGCAGAAATAAAACTTGGTGAAGATTTCCGCAGCTTTCTGTCTGATTGCTTTCAGCAGGTATGCATGATGTTCAACAAGAGCAGCATATTGATGTCTCAGAGCTCAACTTGAGTCTACAAGTTCAGACGATTGACTTGAAAATCTGCGCACCATGACGTCAAGGATACAACAAGAGGCTCTGCATCGCATCCATTCTGGAATTGCTCGCTTTCAATCGTTCCTGTCTCTCTGATGATTTTTCATACACAAAAATTTCTGCTCCATGTGAACCTCTTTCACTTACCAGCCTTTAGACGAATGAACGTTCAGCTCCCCTCTATCATTCTGTGCCTTTGCTTTTTTCCTCTGCTTCTGCCTCTGCCTCTGCCTCCCTCTCTGCCTCCCCCTCTGTAACTTTTCCGCTTCCTTTTTCTGCTCTGTTTTCTCTTCCTGTCCAGCCGGATCGCTCGTCGGCAAGGACAGCATTTAGGAGGCCATCATGGACCGTTACGAATCGTTACAGTCAACTGCGCGTTCTGAGACCACCCTAGTCACTCGTCGGACCGTGCGCCGCGCCGGCGCGCGGCCGCTCCCCGGGCCCGGACTGTCACCAGGCCCACCCGACTCTCCGAGGCTCCGATCCGATCATCGGATCAGGGCCGGGCCGGCCTGTGACCGTGACGGTCACCCGGCCGATCTGTGGACTGCCGCAAACTTCAAGTTATGCCGGCGGGCGGCCCGCTCCGAGGCTCCGACTCGGCAGCGCGGCGGCCCCCCGGTCGGGCCGCCGCGGCCACTCAGTACCGGGCCCCCGGGCCGGACAGTCACTGGGACTCCGGGCAGGACGGTGTCCGATCGGACGGAAGTTGCCGCGGCCACTATGCCGCACAAGCGGCAGTTAGGCGAGTTGGCCCGCAGCCGGGCATATCGGGATGATCAGTCAACGGCTTGAGCGGCCGCGGGCCCGACCATCACTGGAGCGGCCAGCCGGGCGGAGCCTGAGGCTCGGCCCGGCCAGGTCGGATTACCTGCCTGACCCCCGGCCGCCGTTCGGACCCCGGCGGTCGGATGGCCCGGGGACGAGGAGGATCATCCGGCGGACGGAGGGGGGCCGCGCAAGCCTTGAAGGCCGCCTGTCACCGGGAAGTAGAGGTTTAGAGACGAACTTTGCTACAATAGTTTTAGAGTAATTGAGACTGCTCTGATTGCGAAAAGCTGTCTTTCCAATGATTTCCCGCTTTCGTCCTGTGTTGGTCATGATTTACCTGGTCATCAATCATAAGGTTGATGACATTTGCTGACCTTTAAGATACAATAATGAACCGATTCTTGTCAGCCATGACGAAGAAGACAGTAAGACGCAACGATCTGGAAAAGTCGGGGGTATTGCTGACATTTATAATACTATTATAGGTTTACCTAACTTGAGTGACTTGCTAAACTCTTTACCACCTTCCCTCAATGACCTTTCAGCCTCATCTTATCGCAAGGGTAAGCACTATCCCATTCTGCATTAGTATCTCACTTATAGTCTCCTGTCTCTCAAGCTAGGACATTCTTCGAGATTCCCTTCGTTCAACCCCACCTTCTTCGTACCATAGAACAGGCGGTCGGCCTTTTCCTTATAGCTCCCCTCCTTGCCGAGGCTCCATCCAACAAGCCGCCGCCCTCCCCCCCCACCCTCACTTTCTACTACTCCTCCCTGTCAGTTCGAGCAAGCTCGACCGTCTTCTCTAGCTGATACACCTCCTCTGCACATCCCTTCCCCTGCCCAACTCGTCGTTCCTACATTCCACAAACATGCTCGCCCCCGCCGTCACCATCGTTCTACCCCGCAAGAAACCATCGGACGGAGACAACGGAAACCGAGAGATAGCGCTTACTGCTGAGTCCATTAGCAAACTATTCAAGATGCGTCAGTCTGACGCTGCAAAACACCTGGTGTGCGCTATCGTTTGTTCACCCAAAGCTAGTTGGCTGACGTCAATCCGCAGGGAATTTCTCTTACTGCGCTCAAGAGTGCATGTAGAAGAGTAGGAGTGCACAAATGGCCCTATATCCGCCATAGGCCTCGTTGCTCACTGCAAGATTGCTCCTTGCAGGAGTATGCCCCTAAGAAAGACGACAACTTTGAATCGCCATGCAAGCCCTCAGGGTGGTTGATGCAAGAACCGAGACGAGTCGATTCCTCTTCGATCACGTGGGATTTCAAGACTTCTTTGTCTCATGTGAGGATCCCGACGCTGGTTGAGGATGGTCCCAATGTTCATTTTCGAGTATGCGGGCTCGGCTTGGAGGGTGCAGAGTTGCTAGAAGAAGCCTTCGAGCATGTGTACCGAAGTCTGTAGAAGTTCAAACACGTAAGACTAGTCATCATTTGTAACATTAGCGTGATAGCATCAATTCTCAATACATCTCCTTGACATGAAGCTAGTGCAAGATTGTTTCTTACGCTGGGTGATTGTGCCACATAAAGCATGTGAATGGCGGGCCAGTGTCTCATAGGATTTAAACCAAGTCGACTGCGCCTTGGCAGTCGACTATATATTTCTTCTTCCAAAAAAAATCGCAGATGTACATTGTTGTGCATAGTCTGTTATCTCAACGCCCCCATGAGTCATCAATAAAATCTCTGAATCAAAAATGCAACAATCTGCAGACAAAGTCAGCCTCGATCTTATCAGATTGAGCAAGAAAGAGATCTCAAGGAAAAGAAACAATGACAAAGAGATGACAATCTGAGATCTGACAACTTTGGCCTTGCCGCGACATCAACACAGGAGAAACATGGAAACAGTGAGAGAGAGGGGAAGGAGTGTTGACTCACCAGGGATATGAAGGCCGTTAACAGCATCGTATTCAGTTGATTGATATTGAGAGAGCCCTGGGACTTGACGGTTGGAGCTGTTGCTGATGGACCGCTGTTCTGGAGAGAACGAGCCTGACAAACGACGTTGGCGTCACACCCTTTCATCCCAATAATCAGAAGAGCTACCTGCAACTCTACAAACTTCTTCTCCAGATCTTCGAGGGCCCTCTTCGTTGCATCGTTCTTTTCTTTCTCGTCCTACGAAGATTCGGACTGAGTGCAACCACCATGGTTTGCTGAAGAAACTGATGTACCTGAAGATTCTTTATCAGGACTCGCTCTCGCTCTCTTGCATCTCGCAGTTCTTTGGTCTGATGAAACCGTAAATCAATTATTCAAGGAATTCCTTCAAGCTTCCCACCAAACGGTCACATCGATTTTGCTCTTCGCGCAGTTTTTCTTGGTCTGCGGTTGACGCCCTATTTGAATGTTTCGTGTGCGGCTCCTCCTCCGAGCCCGTCTTAGCCTCTTCATTGAAACTCCTGCTGTTTGTCTGTGTCAGAAAGAGGAGGAGCTCGATGGAAGGGGCAAGCACATGCTTCCAGGCGTTTCACTTGAAGCATCTTGCAACGGAGAAAATGACTTGGAATCTGACAATTTAGAGGCCGAGCTTCTGGAAGCAGATCAGGACAAGGCAAGGAAGACACTCGCCATTCACTCTTGCTCGCGCCCGCTCGCAGCATCACTGGGAAGCGTAAAGGTGCAGACCAACTTCTGATCGACCGTCTCATCTTTGCTCATGTTTTCAAACACCTGACCTCAACTATCAGCCATTCCGAATCAAAACTCACATGTAACGCGTACAGATTTGGCGTCTCCAGTCTCATTGGTAGTGATTGCCGACTGTCAAATCAAAACTCAGAGGCATAAACCATCCTTGTCATTCACAAGCGGCAATGGAGCAAAGGAAAGCATAGCAGGAGAACGCAACGCTCTTTCTATGCAAACCAGCAACAAAGAGAGGGACAATTTTTCAGACCTGAACAAGAAACTTGTCCTTCCAAGCTGTTGTGCTACTTGGCAGGTCTTTCAAAGGTTGCATAACAATTTTCACTTCCATGGATTCTCTCGCGGGTATGACGCTGCTGTTTGGTCGTACACAGTACCGTTTTGGCGCAGTGGTCTAGAGAACTTCAGTTCATAACAGTGCAAGTATTCGAGTTCACCTTGACTTTAAACGCAACGGCATTGTCCGAGGTATTCTTGAGAAAGAGACTCTTTTCCAAAGTCTTGCCTGTCACAACTTGAAAGAAGTGAGAAAAGTGAGATGGTGACGTTGATGTTGTGATCCTAAGGGATTGTACACATCAAACAGGATCAACTTTCAGAATCTCATTTTGATTCTAAAATGATACTTCATTTCAGAGGTACAAACCATCATCAGATCGATGCATGGTCTCCTCGAATGGTATCATTCTAGCACAAAACGCATGCAACATGTCGTCCTTCCCCTCGTCGCTCCCCTCGCGCTCTTACCACATCATCCATCCTTCTTCCTGTGCTCTTCCACCTCCTACCAACATCTTCCTCCACCTCATCTCTGCATTCCTCAACTTCACTTACGTTCCCATCGGATTTCGTTTGCTGGCAGAATCTCCAGCATTCCACAGCTGCGCTTCTATGACAGATTCGTTTTGAACAGTATTGAAATGTCTCTTCTGATATTCAAACCTTCATGAAGAGTCGATCTCATTTTCAATATTTGACTGTAAATTTCAAAGTTTATCAGCAGTTTTGAAATAGCTCCAAATCATATTTGAACATGAACTTTCAGTCGCCGGCCCGGCTTGTTGAATCAGCACGTGCGGCATGAAGAAGCGAGTATGCGGTGAGGTGAGCGAAGAAGAGGAAGAGGAGGTGAATGAGCGAAGAAGAGGGCTGAGAGTGAGATGTCTGGCATGCCTATGATGATCTTAATGTAACCTGGTAAGTTTATGAAAGACTTGATGAATTCATCAACATTCCCATTTATCCGAGGCATGTGAAGAATTATATATCAAGCAGCTTGAGATCTTGTCATTTAGTGTGACTTGCTTTGGATCCTGCAGGACAACAAGTCGGTATGCTCGCGTATCGTCCGTTTTGACTGAAAGCCACCAGTGTTAGTGTGTAAATGTTTTCTGTTATGATATTCTTTGGCTGTGTAAAGTAAACGAGTTGTTGTAGAATAAAAAGCAAATGATCTTTGTATGTTTCTCTACCAGAGGCAACAGTTTCAAAGTCATTGTAAAAGAGATGCAACAAAAAAAATGATTTGATTTGTAGAAGTCTCAAACCACGTCTTCAATATGGTTGCAAGTAAGTCTTTTGGCAACGAATCTGTTGAGATTTTATTAGGATTCAGTCCGTTTGCTCCCTCCCATTTGGACTAGCAATCCAACGGCTCCGGCAATAGAATAGAAGATCAGGATAGTCCGTTTCTCCCTTCATGTTTCAATACGTCAATCTTGTCCTGTTTGAAATCTCATTGTTGTGAAACCTCAGTAACGATGCTAATAAAAATGTCAGCTGGAAATAGTTTGCTCGATCGGCACAGAAGGATTCAGCCTGATCTTGAAACCATCTTCCTACTCATCGCACCTCTCTCACGTGATAGAGATGTAGATTGCAGCATATCTGCGCATTCGCTCTGCTTTCCCATCTACAAGCTCATGTCATTGCGGCGTTTCAGCTCTGAACAGTTCCTCTCATCGCAATCTGTACCGCTCTTAGAGTACGCCCTTACACAGGGCATATCTCACGTGGTTCACAGCTGCTGCCCCTCCACATTTTGCGATGAGGCGTTTCACCTGTACCATGTTCCTGACAAGACTTTCTGAGTACGGCAGCCGACGCTCAATTTAATAATCAAGAATAAAACAAAAGAATGAAATTAGTTCTTCATACGACAGAGAAACAACCATAGTCCCAAGACATTTAACCACTAATTCAAACAGAGACTGATGCATAGGTAAAAAATAATCGGGGAAAAAATCATTCTTCGAGAACGCAACGATGTCATTTGCAAGCCTCGACGTAACAGAGGAGCCTCTCATGGAAATATGTCCTCTTGCAAAATTCGCCAAGGAAACCAAGGATGCGAACTGCGAAACAACGACTGCCCATGAACAAGAATTAGTTGCTTTCAAATGAATAAAATCAATTTCCAACTCTGCAAAAAAAAAAGCAAAAGTTGCAATTAGTTTGAGACATTGAGGAGACCAAGAGTAATCACCTTAGAGTGGGCTATCTAGCAATTTGTCAACCCAAGAAGTGTCTTCCTGCTTAACCCACTCAGGGGTGCTGGCCTGTGCACGTGGATTTGAGGAGGCCATTGGATTTTCTATTGCTGAGCCATTAGGGATTGGGATGTGTACATGAAGGGCACTAGCACCTTGGTTAGCGTTTGCATTGTTTATCCGTGACGCATTGTATCCCGCCAATCCTATCATCTGCCGACGTGATGACGGGGCCTGCCCTGCATTCTGCGACGGGCTCTGTCCAACAAACGTTCTGCCTCCGTTTTGAGGTGTTCTCTCATTTTGCATGCGATATTGCCCTGTATTCCTCCCAGCTGACCGTGTTGAAGAATTGGGATTTTGCTCATTAACAATTCCAGAGCCCTGCGGTTTCAACGGTTGAGCTGGAATTCCTAAACAGGAAGAAAGTTAGAGGAGGAAGACACAATCAAGGATAATCACCCATCGGACTCGGCATAAAATGCTGTTGTGGAGAAGTCATGGGATTCATGTTGTTGCCTGACCAAGTTTGTTGCTGTGGTTGGAATTGATTTGCCGTTCGCGTCTCATTCATTCGCCCACGACCAGTACCTACATTTCTGTTGTTCTGACCGGATAGCGAGAACGGGGGACTTTCGTCTGGGAGCGGCACTGGCATTTGCGATTGTGATCCAGAAGGAGGGCTGGATAGGATATTATTTCTCCTAGAGGGCGAGCCATGCACGTTAGGAGTCCCCCGTCCTTGAGCAGGAACCTTCTTTGATCCTGGCATCATTCCCATTGGGCTATTCTGGTTTTGTGGATGCCACATCCCTCCTGGGGACGCGAGTGGCCCCAATTTCATAGCGAGTTGCTGCATTGATCCCGGTTGGGGAGAACGAAGTTCTTCAATATCGTGTGCAAAAAAGCACATTCTACGTTGGCAGTTTCTTCCATATGCACAAAGATTTGTTCGGAAAGCATCAGGATGCAATCCTGCTTCCCAAGGGCCATGGGCCATCTGGCATCGGTCCGACCTTGGACAAGATTTTGTGGATTTGAAATCTGGACACGGCTGAGCTGTGTGCTGTGACCTGTAAACATAATAAAGATTATGCTGTACCATTCACAAATCTTAGAACATACGGGTGTCTTCTGCGGGCAGTTTCTCCTTCATGGGCATATGGACACTCTTTCCAGTCATGTACAAACTGTTTGCTACAATGCACCACCTACAAGAAGAAGTAAGCCATCCCAATCCCAAGTTGGCAATGGCATACGATGATTACATACACATCAAAGAAACATCGAAACATTCTCCAACACCAGCAACCCTTCCCAAATCAGGGCAACGATTAAGCGTAAAACGAGCTTAACAATCAAATTTGTATAAGTTACGAATCGGATCTTACCTTAAACACATACATAGCAAACAAATCTTCATCGGTTTCTTCTGTCCGTCCGCCTTCTAAGCTTTGCTTAGAGACAGCGGATGCATCGGAACTCGCCAGTTGTTGAACCATTTCATTGGTGCGCATACGAATTTCGGAGGCAGCTGCCCTTACTTCATCAATAGACGCATTACCTCCTGGCATGAACTTAGAAATACTTCCATTTTGTGGGTACTGCATGTTTCTGTCATTCTTGTTGCCTTCCTTAGCTTGTGTATAGTATTCAGGATCGTTAGCTACCATTGGATTCCAAAATCCACCTTCATTATTCATTTCAGAATTCTTCGGTTGTGAGTGCGCAGTGAAAGTATTCGACATCATCAAGTTCCTCATCGATTCGTTGAGGTCATCTGGCTGAGTATTGAGACCGTTCATATTCAAGTGTGAAGACTGATTCTCGATTTCACTCGTCTGAGAAGGCATGTTTTCATAAAGCTCCTGCGCCCTCGGATCGCTTTCCGGATCACCCTCTATCGCATGTGACATTTCTGCAGTTTTAACAGAATCTGAGAATATTCACGAACAGCTTGTGCAGTCTGTGAATTCACAAACAGAAAAGCAAGTCAGTCTGGGAATTGGCTTCAAGTTAAAGACATACCATTCAAATATAGATGGCTTTCAGTCATGCCAAACTCTGACAACAACTCTGCGTAGCTCATCAGTATCCCATGGTGATATTTCCCGATGTCATTATAAATCCCAAATTTAGAGTTCCAAATCAACATGGAGTCCAAAAACCAAAAAAATACATGAAAAATAATGAGCTGCCTAATCCACGACGACTGATGAACTATTTGATACGATCAACAGCTTGGTTTGAAATGCTGCGGTCATGCATGAATGCAATGACATAACATGAGGCCGCATGCAATCGAGAAACAAACATGAGTTGTTACTAGATTAGAGGTCAGTGCAAAAAGACATGCCAATATAAGAAAAGACATCAACCTAGGGTACATGATAGGCTGCCGCTACTCCGCTTCACGTACAATGACAACAGTTCCTATGCATCACATCGGTTCAAGGCCCCCCTGCATATCGCATGCTACAGAATTTCGTTACTGCATCGATTAAGAATGGACGAAAACAAAAACATCGGTCAAGACGACCCTGCAGCGACATCTTCCATAGCTACACCCCTACAACGGTCACAGTTTCCTGTCCATTCAAATCGCTGATCAAAGATGCTCGATCGAGCCAGATGCATCTCATTTAAGCTCCTCGAGTATGACTGCATTGACATGTCAACATAACTACGACCATTGAAGCAGAGGAAGAAGAGCAGCTGGAGCAACAAGGCCTCCGCCGCATCCATTCCGCATGTTTGCTCTGTTGCGCGCGAGCTCCCGCCTATACTTTTAAACGGCTAGTTTTAGTGGTGTACCACAAATTCGAAAACTTATTTCATCTCGGTCCCACAGTACTGATTTTCGTACCTATATTTGTAACAGATCTCATATAACAGGTAGTTTTATATATATTGACACATTTTTAAAAAAATAAATTTGGTACTTCTTGTACCAGAACAAACATCGAGGTACAAGCTTCTGCCCTCTCACCGTAGAACTTTGCGCCACTCTCAAGAATCATAAAATTTAATAAATTGCCATGTTACTAACACACAAATGAGTAGCTACAAATTTCAGTACCTTCTCATAAATGTGGTACTGAGATCAATATTATAACGTTATATTGTACATTTATTTGTATTACAAACCACATGGTGCAGTTTTAAATTGTACCATAGTCCCCTCTGTGTACAGTACTTTCGCTACCCCTGTCCGCCTTCCTACCTCCCCCTATATAATGGTCCTAGGATTCTAGGAGTGTGATAGATCAATCCTAGGACTCTCCTAGGCCTCGCAGGAGTGGTACGCCCCTGATCGCATCCGAATTCCAGAAAGGATTGACTAAAGAACCTAGTAATCATTTGACTACAAACAAGTTTTATTCACTACAGAGTTACAATGTTGACTATGAGAGTGCAAGAGTGAAAATATATTGACTATGGGACCTGCCATCCATGACTTCCAAATCGGGACACTACTGTCCGGAGCCCGCGGCCGGGCCGGGCCCGGCGAACTCTGAGACACTCACCAACCATCGGGGCGGGGGGCGCATGTGAAGAGCATGGCTGGGTGAAGCGGGCGGAAGAGGAGGATGAAGAGGAGTGCAAGAAGCATGTTGAAGACAACATGGCTGATGTTGGCTACGATCTCAATGATAACATCCATCAGAGATGACGTGCCTGGTCGCTCCAGCTGCTCTCTCTTGCTGGACACTAGTCCGTGGTGGAAACATGGTGCAGGAATCGATGGACAGGTCAGTTAGATTCCTTCTCTTGTATGTACAAGTACACGCTGATCTGTTGCAACCACTGCAATAGATATTCAAGATCGTTCCTCCAGGCATTTGTATCCGAGCTGCGAAATCCGGACACCACCTATCATCTCGTCTCCGGGGAGGGGACAGTGGGATGTTTGGAGCTTCTATGAACGCCATGATGGACGAAGAAGAGTCTGATGAACATGAAGAGGAATCTGAGGAACTGAGCTCCTCTGAACTTTATCATGACCATTGTCTCGTGAGGGCGAAAGATGAAGTCACACTGGAGTATGCAAACGTTTTACTGCGTAAGATCTGCCTGCCCCCGAAGGATTTTCAGTCAAAGCAAGACTTGCATTCTCTGACGAACATCCTTTACTATCTACTTTCATTGGCGAGCCAAATCAATCGGTACGGCGTCTTGAACGATCCATGAGTCGTTTGAATCCGATGACAGCAAGTCCAAGTCCGTTCCCATCAACATTGAAGAGAGAGGTGGGCTTGAAGCACTCAGATCTTTCGGTTTCTGATAAGCTGAATGGAAGAGTTCTATTCCAAGTGTCAATCTCTGAGAACGAGCTTCGAATCTAAGAATGGAACTCGGTTTGAAGGTCCCGTCAACATCCCCATTGCTTCCTGGAGCGCCAACTGACTGTGGTCACAGAAAACTCAATTCTGCTGTTCCAATCTCAACATTCCAAGGCTGGGATCCCTAAGGAGTCGAATGTATTAACATCGCAGAACAGCACGCGCAAACCTCTTACAACTCAACTCACGGTCTGATGCAACTTGATTTGCGACCAACACCCCTGACGGGATGTGCAGGCAGCTCAGATAGACCGAGCCAGGAGGAAACTCTTGATAGATGCATTTGAAGATCCACAGTACCACCTTTTTTCTCGTTGATTGATTACTTACACAGATGTCGTACCAGGCACAAGCAGAACGACACAACCATGGAACAACACAACACCCTGCTCGATCAAATATCAGTATCATTGAACAAATTTAAGATGAGCGCCAAGTCAAATTTGGATGACATAATGAGGTGAAATCTCAAGAGTTCTCTCTTTTTCCTGTATCCACATAATATGATCAATATATGGCAGATCTTCCGAACTTGTAGACTCGGTAAAGCAGGTAGAAAGATCCAAAAAAACAACTTGCACCCAATTATGTTTGATTGACTATTTCAAGGGGATGGCAGGGTATGCTCCATATTTGAACAATGTTCGGAGGGAGGTGTGACCTTGTGTGCTCACAATTTCCTGGGTGACTCTGTTTTAGGTCGAAGAAAGCTTGAAGGAACTAAGGCAGAGAGATCGAGCTCTTTTCTTCGTCAATGTACAAAATACAACCTTCGCGATACTTGAAATCGACTCATTGCTGTTTTTGTAGACTTTTGGTCTTGCCGGTATGCTCTTCCTGCTATACTCGATCATGAAGTGGAAGGGCTAAAGATGCAGTGACAGTCAAGAGGGATGTTATTTAATGATATCAGCAAGCATACGTTGAATAGACTTGGAAAAGAAGTATCACTCCTGTATGACGATGATTTCAAGAGGGACACGAAGGTATACACAATGGTTCTGCACCCACAGAAGAGGCTGATCCCACAGCGTCGATGTTGCAACCTGCACTGTGCTGCAGGTAAACAATAGCACCTAGTTTGACTGTGGGCTCGATTGAGATCAGTTGCTTATTTACAGTTCTGTGTGACTCTGTAGACTATTGCTTTCGGTTTCAATGATCCGAGATATGGACGACTGTTCCGCAAGTATGTCGAGAGGAACCAAAAGCTCCTCATGAAGGTTTGAATCTGCAAGGAGAGTGATGGAGCTGGGCTCGTCGTTTGATGTTTGACCATTCTCGACCTGCAGTCCAAGTTACTGGCAACAACTGGAGTGTGCAGAAGTATAAAAGAGACCATGAGGCGAGGTCTTTTGGCCTGATTCTCTGTGTTTTCAAGCGCTGGCTGCCTTCCATCGCTTTCGTTCTCAGGAGGTTTCGGTCCAATGCCGATAGACTGGCAAGCTCGCATCAGGATCATCGTCATCTGAGCCAAACGATTCTCGAGATTCTGTAGCAACAAGTGACGGCATGAAGGCAAAGAGAATGAACGACCTCTTGCCGCCGCTTGCTTTCAAGCATCTCTGCAACTATCATCTGCTTCTCGCTCTCCTTTTGCTGAATCGCAGCTTCCATTTGTCGATGCCGAGCTCTGCACCACTTTCAACGAACCACGTCAACGTGTGCAAATGCTCATGCACCTCAACTCTTGTACGTACACAGACATCTGCTCGATTTCGGCACGTGCAACCTGTAACTCTCGATCGTTTCCAGAAGGGATCTTACGCCTGATATCCTTGAAAAGATGCTCATTCCCTCTCCTGCACCAAGAGGCATCAGAGGCAGCAGGGAAAGTATCATTCACTGCACTTGAAGATTGGATGTGAGAATTCACAGGCTCCATTGTCGAGCGATGCTTTGTGGAATCCGTACAAGTTCAGTTGACGGACAAAGGACGTGAAATTGCTGTGTTTGAAATACCTGTAGTTGGTGTGAATCAGGGCACAAATCACATAAGAAAACCAATCACCGGGATAGAACTTTAGTTGAGAACGAGGACGCGTCAAAGACTACGATCTTCTCTCCACATGGCGACCACGATATGTATGGAGAGACCGTTGTGTCCTTGAGCATGTAATCAAGCTTTGCGATGAAAGAAGGAGAACCCTGCTTCTCCTCATCAAAGATCTCTGCTTGTAACAGCGGTGAAGATGCTTGGCTGAGTCTATCTGATGTACTCATCCTTGGCAGCTTGGCGGTGAGCCCACAATATGGCGAGCTTTGCACGGCTGACACTTCCTGAGGGCCCTTCAACGACTTGGAATGCTCTCAGTCCTCTGGGCTAGATCATGTTGATATCTGCGCAGTACAAGTGAGATGCCTTTACAACACAAATATCACCCAGTTGAAACAATAGAAGCTGTAGAGTCATTGTGCGAAGTATCATCCCCCCTCCATCCAAGTGTCATGAAACGGACCAAGGTAAATCACGTCTGTGTTGAGCTATGAACTATTGCTGACCTTTCATTCCTCATATCAAGCTCAGAGTCTCTTAGATGCTTATCTGTTAGAGGTCAAGGATACTTCGAATCCCTGAGATTAAGCTATGAAACGAGATCAGACCCTTCATGTAGCTGCCTAGAAGCTTCACATTTTAGCTTGAGTTCAGCATATATCATGCTCAATCTCATCATTTTCTCGTGCTTTCGACATCAATATCATATTAATCGTTAATTTCATGTGTTTTTGTTCATTCTCTCTCTCTTCTTTTCCTCTTCATGCACCCTCCACTTGCTCCGTCGACGCCATAGAATTCTCTGGACCTTCCACTTCGCCTTCAAAAATTTACTCAATCTATGTACCCTACCTGTCAATGAGCAGCCGTAAATACCACCCCTACCTTCCATTCACTCTAGCAGGAGGGCTCAGACATACCTACCGGCAGCCCTGGGATAGACAGGGGTAGGGTTATGGCCCAACTGGCCCTAGCCGGGCCGCCGGCGCCGGGAAGCAAACTTCACTGAGTCAGTTGCCCGGGGGGCCTGGGCGGCCGCGCCAACTAGTAGGAGGCCCGGCCCGGCCCGGTCCGCCGGGGGGCGATACCGGCGATAATCAGACGGTCCGACAGCGATGCCGCGCGGCACTCAGCCTGGCAGCCCGCCGCTGAGGCCGCCGAGCCTCGGAGTCCGAGTTACCCGAATTGCCGGGCCAGTGACGGTACGGCGGGGCGGCGGTGCGGCGCTCGCCCGCCGGCCCGGGCCCGCCGGCCCGGCGGCGGGCCGGGCCGCCGACGGTCCGAGTCACCCGGTTGTGAAGCATGGGACCTTGCACGGCACGGTCGCGGGCCGCGCCGGGCCCGTCCCGCGCCGCAGGCCGTTACCGGCGTTGAAGGCCCTTGGGTACCGTACTAGTACCCGGCAGACTGACCGTCTCAGTGAGAGTCTCGGGCCGTACACTGCCACCGAACGGTGGCACCGTCACGGTACGGTCACGGCGGCCCGGCCCATCGATGATCCCGGAGTCCCGGCTGAGTCGACTAGTACTGTACCCGGTACCGTGGCACGGTCACGGTGAGTGCCCGGTGACCGTGTGTTTCGGATCTGAGGGCGGCCCAGTGCGGCGCCGGCCCGGCGGCGCCGGGCCGCCGCGGGCCCGAAAAGAGATGGCTAGAAATAGCCTCCTTTTTAGAAATAGACTTTATTTTTGCTATTTTCTGGCCGGTTGAGGGCATACATTACCCCCACCCCCACTATCACTGACTTTCACCCTCTATTTCCCCTTTAGTCCTCCCTGTTTCCAGTGCGCCCCACCGGTACAACCTGTCCACACCACCAAGTTGACTGCTACGCACCGACACATGAACGCACCCCTCATCATTACTCAGTGAACTCGGGAAATATCGGGGTGGGTGCATCTCAAATAGCTGGTGTCGGGGGTAGTAGATCTGAGGGTAGTCATCAATCTAACACTCTATGGAAGAGGGTAGGGTTACAAAACAGGGGTCCTTTCATTGCAGAAATGCTGGTTAAATATATGGTAGGGTGGGGTGTAATGCAACGTGGGACCCCCACAAACGTACATTTTAAAAAATTATTCCCCATATTCATATTGACTATGATGCTTACACTTCTTTAATAATCACTATGAACCTATATAGTCAAAAACCACCAAAATGGTGGACGGGTGGTGGGTGGTAAGGGGTGCTATCACCACAACTTGCCCTCCACCCCACCCTGCTCGTGTTTTACACCCACCACCCACCCTCTCAGATTCACCACCATTAAACTTCATGCACCATCCACTGTTCCTTTGAGTACCCCGGTATTTGAGGCAATTTACCCGGTGTCATCATACGAGGGGTGCCCATCTACCCCTCGAATATATACCCCCACCTCCTCCACCAGTACCCACCCCACTGGATCGCTCGTGCTGCAGACATGCTGCGCTTCACTGTGGTTGCTGCGGCATGCGCAGCATCGTCGGCGTCAATCATGCCGCAGTTTTCATCGTGGAGACAGGACTCTTCATCCCTCCTCGCATTTTCTCCCTCCTCTGCTCTTCTCCTTCCTCAGTCACGCCTTTCCTCCACCTGCTCATTCGTCAAGCCATCCAGCCCGCCCACCGCAAGATGCAGGTACCTATACTGGCTTCATCTTTGCTGTTTGACCGCCATGGCAGAGGAATGAGATTCGTAAGGCCTGGAAGTCTGAGAATGAGTGGAGGGGAGATGAACATGAAGCCGATCAATGTTAAGCCGTCGAAGCATGACCTTGAAACTGGACGAGACCCAACAAGGGTGAAGGTACAGCAAGCATTAAAAAATGAGTGGATTGTGTCTGACAACGTTGTTTCAGGTGTTTGACACGACTCTCCGAGATGGAGAGCAGTCTCCTGGTTGCAGTATGACCTCAGACGAGAAGATGCAGGCAAGTCTTGCCACGTACGTTTTTCTCGAGTTGCTAATGAAACTTTGCAGGTGGCTAAGCAGCTTGCTCGTATGGGTGTGGACGTAATCGAGGCAGGGTACGTCAGCCGTAGACCTCTCAAATGCACATTTGCTCTGTCTTTCTGATCTAGTTCCTGCCTTCCATTCGCAACGAGGCAACAGTGCCCCAAAGTTTATTCTGATGTAGGTTTCCCATTGCATCCAACGACGACTTCCTGGCCGTGAAGCAGATCGCTGATGTGGTATGATCCGCGTGTGCATTGTTGGCTTGTCATGTGACTCCTGCTGTAGGTTGGTAACTACGAGAATCCTCCAATCATCTGTGGTCTTGCTCGTGCAACCGAAGGCGACATCAGGAGGTGTGCCGATGCTGTCAAGGTAAGTCGATGTCAAATCGTTTGACAATAAGATACGATGTCTGAGAGTTGTGTGTCTCTTCAGGGAGCCAGATTTCCTCGCATCCATACTTTCATCGCAACTAGTGACATTCACATGGAGCACAAACTGCGCAAGTCCCGGTGACAGCTCGAATGATATCGAACGTATTGATGTCTGATATGCTTTGCTGTAAACAGTGAAGAGGTCTTGAAGATTACCAAGCAGATGGTGACGCTTGCCAAGAGCTTGGTAGACGATGTCGAATTCAGTGCAGAAGATGCTCTGCGATCAGACAGAGCGTTTCTCGCTCAGGTAAAGATTCATGCTTCACCTGCTTCACCTTTTGATTCATCAGGGGCGTTCGTCATGCTCATCGCTCTCTTGTTTTTGTTCTGACTGACTTTGTGGGCCTGTAGGTTTTTTCAGTAGCCATCAAGGCTGGGGCAACCACTATCAACGTTCCTGACACCGTAAGTAAAATTTTCCTCGGCACTTAATCGCTACAACATGATCGTCTCACATGTCTTGATAGTTGAGCAGTTTTTCTCCGAATCCTCTGATTGTTCTTGGCAGGTTGGCTTCACCACCCCGACCGAGTTCAAGGAGACGATCGAGTACTTGAGGAAGCACACTGAGGGCATCGAGGATGTGACTATCTCTGTTCATGGTCACGATGACCTCGGCATGGTACTCTCCTTTTTTGCTTTTCTCGTAATGTCCTTGACGAGGATACAGGCCGTTGCAAATTTCTTGGGTGCTATCGAAGGAGGAGCCAGACAAGTCGAAGTGACTGTGAATGGCATTGGAGAGCGAGCTGGCAATGCAGCAATGGAGGAGGTTGTGATGGCTCTCCATGTGAGAAAGTCCTACTACAACCCCATGTTTGGACGCCCAGCTGACTCCAACGACGCTCTTACCAACATCGTCTTGAAGGAGATTCACCGCAGCTCTCGTTTGGTCACCAGCTTGACCGGGATGATGGTGCAGCCGAACAAGGCAATCGTTGGGGCCAACGCATTTGCTCATGAGTCGGGAATTCATCAGGATGGGATGCTTAAGAACAAGCTCACGTACGAGATCATCGATGCCAGCACCATCGGCTTGGACAACTCGGATGGTATCGTGCTCGGCAAGCATTCGGGCAGAGCCGCTTTCAAGGCCCGCCTTGCGGACCTTGGGATTGTTCTCAATGAAGATGAGACCAACAAGGCCTTCATCCGCTTCAAGGACCTTGCAGACAAGAAGAAGGAGATCACAAACGCTGACTTGGAGTCCATCGTCAACGACGAGGCTCAAGACCTCGCCGCCAACCGCTTCAAGGTCATGCACGTGCAAGTGACGTGCGGTATTAGCATGGTGCCGACGGCTACCGTAACTCTCAGAGACGAGAAGGACGACCTGGAGCTCACAGACGCGTCCACGGGGACTGGACCTGTCGATGCTGCTTTCCAGGCGGTGAATCGCCTCTGCGGCATCCAGGGAGGCGGACAAGCCAACGCCGCTGACGTCAAGCTCATGGAGTACTCAGTCAGCTCAGTGACAGCTGGGATCGACGCCCTCGGCGAGGTCACTGTACGTCTGCAGGACCCCCGTAGTGGGAGAGTCTTCCTGGGACGAGCTGCCGACACTGACGTCGTCGTGGCCTCTTGCGTCGCTTACGTCAACGCCCTCAACCGCCTCATCCTCCAGAGGTCTGACCTCGCCCCCAAGCTCCACCCACAGCTCTCAGTCGCTGGCAAGGCAATTTAACTGATTTTGTGCCTTCATTTAAAAGAAATCGATAAAAAACTGCTCAATAATTCATATGAACCCTCCGCCCTTTCCAGCCACCGTGAGGCACGAGACACCTCCGGACCAGCTCACATGTTAGAGTTGAGGATCTCCCGAAGAGAACTCCATGTTCGATGAAACAGGAGACGGAGGCTGCTTCTTGCCAGACCCTACAAAGTTGCAGGTTACCATCGCTGTAGCTCAGCAGCTTCTCAGCCTACCTCGATCCACGACTCGAGCCATAACCACTGTGATGTCGTCGAGCTTTCCTCCGATGAAGTCCAGCCCCTGCCTTCGAGCGTTTTCCGAAAAGGGGCACACACATGTGGTATCCTACCACCGAGGTAAGAACACATTCCAACCGGTCTAACTCTGTACAGACCTTTGCGTTGAGATGCGAAGCTTGCGCTATGCTGAGACAAAGGCTGTTTGTGCTCTTGTTCTCATCAGCAGTAATCAGATCGATCATGTCATCCTGAAACAGGTTGTCCCAGACTCCATCCGAAGCTACAACCTAGTGGTGAGTGTGTTATTGCCACGAAGGAATACAGCAGGCAGGCATGGGGTATACAATGAGATCTCCTTCAGCAAGGTCTTCAAGAATGTAGTAGTCTGCATCGTCTGGGGTGTCGTAATTCCCCGTGCCGAGCTGGAACGGGCAGTTGAAGTAGTGTTGCTGCTCATTTGTCGAGAAGATGCTCACACCTATGAAACATCTTGACGGCTGTTCTTCTACAAAGGTGAGAGCAGAAGCATACCGTCACGGATCAGGTGCAAGCCTGAGTCTCCTAGGTTCAAAACATGCAGGTTGCCCGATCGTGTCAGCATTGCCAGGCAAGCAGTACAGGACCCTGGAATGTTCCGTTCACCGAGTTCATCCACAGCCTGCGCCTTTCACATCATGGCTTCTTTCATGTCAAGGCACACACAACCTTCTGCAAAAAGTTCACAAGAGGCTTTTCAGACTTTAGCTCGCAGTCCGGATCCTGTCTGAGCTGCTCCCCGATGATCTCGCCCAACTTTCTCGGATACTCTGCAGGGTCTACCCCAACCTCAGCCCAAGCTGATGACGAGACAGTCAGAGAAGGAGGAGCAGGAGAAGATCAAGACAAGCACCTCCTACTCCATCAAACACTCCCACTAGAGTCGAGCCTCCCGCTTTGCAGATGATGTGTGCATCCTCTCCGCCTTTGTGGGCCTGGGGAGAGCAACACGTCAGAGGGATCAGGAGCAGAATGTAACACGTCTGAGAGGTCACCTTCAAGGGATGCGGGATGCTGCTGTACCCACACTCCATCGTGAACCTTGGCGGGTCACTCTCCTCAGAGCTGACCTGACTCGCACTGGAGATTTGAACTTCCCATCCTCCCTTCTCCTTCCCGCTGAGCTTCGCACCTCCTGCTGACGTCGAGTTCGATTCTTCCGTGTCCTTGCGAGGACGGGGGTCAGCCACTGTGTCCACACCTCCCACTTCAAGGTCCTCTTCCTCCCAGGAAGCTGATCTGTCATTGTTGGAGCCCCTGCTATCCAAGGAAGGGGAGTCCTCTTTCTTCTTCATCCTCAACGATGGCTTCCCGCCGCTTCCTCTGAACAGCACTGCATTCTTGCAGACGCCTCCGTCTCTAGGAAGAGGCCGCAGCTTGGACGGGCTCCCAAGGGCAGCGTGAGGGACATGGGCAGCATGTGCGAATCCTGCTACAGTTCCAAGAGTCGCAAGAGCAAGGTGCACCAGGAAGTAGCGTCTCCCTACCGTTCCTATCCCAGAGACTTTGCATGCAACCCACCTCTTGAGCCAGTCGTTGGCGCTCTGAAAGATATCTCTGAGGCTCCCTTCTCTCCATCCTCCCCTCCTCTGTTGCCAGATCACGTGCTGCGCCTGAGTTAAAACCCGTTCCCTCCTTTGCGGAGCGGGAAGGAGCGGGGGCTGAGAGCCATGGGGCCTGATGGACATGCTGTGAGATGAAGGAGCATGAAGATGATGCGAACAGGCAGGAACTGCATGCGATTCTCTTGAATCCTCCACCATGATCGCCTCGCCCGTCGCACGCTCCCCCGCCATACTGCCCTCGTTGAACAAGCAGGAAGTGCTCTAGTTTAGTTATACTTTGGCTAAATCAAGGGAGTGCTCCTATGCAATTTAAGCAAAAAGCTTTTAATTTGAAGTGAAATAACCCAAATCTCAGTTAACCCCCTGCACCTGGTGCACAGACCGTTATGGACATCGTTATATGAATGTAAGGCGGTGTTCTGTGGAAAGAACACGATTTTGTTCCCTGTAAGGAACAGCATTCCAACTTCACGTGCCCTCATGGCGAAGAAACGAAAGGAGCGCGGGGAGGGGGAGGAGGGGAGGGGGAGCAGGAGGACAGAAGCAGAGAATGGCGACGAGACAAAATTTCAGCATGATAGGAGGGCGTCACATCTGCATGAAGAGAACGACAAGGTCGATCACATGGACGAAAGGGAACTGCTCTGTTTCCTTGCATCGAACCGCCCGCTCCACCAGAAGGTCGAGGCCTCACAGTCAGCCATGAAGCAAGCTCTGCGTGCTACGGGCTCAGTTGACAGCGAGATAAGAGAGGGCAGATCCTTGCTATCCCCTGGCAACCCTCAGGTATTCAGGGGCTCCGATAAAGTGTTAGATGCGGTAAGAGGAAAACGGGATTGTTTCCGATGCCTGTGATGGGTCATACAGATCTTTGCCTTTTCCTCCAACGTTCTCATCCGATCATCAAATCTCCACAAAGATGCAGGTAAGAGGACTGCCGGGTGGTTCGGCCTGGAACTAAAGCTGGAGCAGGAAAGAGAGCGAACGATAGTCCGTCCTACCTCAACCCACAAGTTTGGACTGTACTGGAGCAAACTTTGACTACTTCATCTGTGAAGGTGCCTTGAGATGATTTGCGTCATAATCCTTGTCCTCATCGCCATCAGAGACAGCACTGTCAACACCACCATCAACACCACCATCACCGCATGAAGACAGCAGCTCTTTCTGTTGTGACGTTGCTTCCAGATGCGATCAAGCGTAACTTCAGTGAGCGTACATCTACTCAAGCCTATCTCCCTTGTCTTCCATCAACACTTTCTCAACTTGGAGCGCAAGGTCAAAACTTGTATAGAAAGCAACAACATGTCTCCTGAGCAAGAAGAGACTGTATCGTCGAGCTTCTCAATCGCCTTGAATGTTCTCAATCTCCTCCGGACGGTTCACAAGTTATCCTTCCAACCCACAACAGCGATCGTAGGTGAGCATGATGATTATCTTGACATTCTCTGCCATTGATGTGCCGGTTGATCAGGAAACTTTGTTCTTGATCATACAGTCAATCTCATCAAGGTTGTCAACGACTACGTCGATTTGAAACGAGAGATAGCGATCGGGAAACATGAGAGCAAATCAGGAATGAAATCTGATTCACTGGACGCTTCATTGTTTTCAGCGCTACAATCTGCGAGTGACGTTATCTTTTCGGTGGGGTCTTGTTCCTTGAGGGAGCTGGAACATCCTGAGATATTTATTCAGATGAAACCGTTCTTACTGCAAGTCAACAATCCAAGGAAGGTGCGAGGAGAGAAGATTGATGTGTTTGTTGATTCTCATTGGTGTTGTCAGAATTTTCTCCTTGCTGTGGACACCTTTCTTGGTGAAGCAGGATGGTTGTCCGCTATCATGTCATGACCTGTTGACAGATCCTCTCATTAACCTGTTTCAAATCTCCCGACAAGCAAAGTTGAGCTGTGATAAGAAATTCAACGATCTGATCACTGGAATCTACGAAGACTTTGAATCCATGGTATAATGGTGCCGATAATGATGGGGGGGAAGGTGGAGGAGGAGGAGGGAGAGAAGGAGCAGGAGCAGGAGCAGGAGCAGGAGCAGGAGCAGGAGCAGGAGAGGAAGAAATGGATGATTATCTAGGGAGGGAGAGGTTCATGTTTATGACTGGCTTCAAAGGTGTCAAGCATGTTGTTTGATGTCGATCACTTGTCTGAATTCGAGCTTGCCTTCTCCTTTCATCGTGACGAGACCTCGAAACAAGACAAGAACAATGTCAACGGGCAAGACAAGAAAGGAAAGCAGGGCAAAGGAACTTACAGGGGCAGCAACATACAGAGTTATCATACGTCCCTGTTTGAAAAGCTTCGGACTCTCCTCAAAGGTGTTTTCCATCTCTTTTGCTTCCGTCGTCTGATCTCAGAGAAAGGTGAGAAGTCAGATGGGAAAGAGACGGTCGACAAAGACTTAGTGTTGTGCTTCCTTCCGAGGTATCAAAATCAAACATGTTCTCGTTTCAATATCAACAAATTTTCGATTGTTGGTGTGTTTGAAACTGACTTTTCCGATGAAGACTGCTTCATGTTTTCTTGAACACACGTCGGGAGTACGAAGAGCAGGAAGATCGGAGAAAAGAGCACGACTCTGATAAGAACGCGAACTTGCTCCAAGATGACAACGATGTTCGCAAACGAAAGAAGATCAAAGTTTCACATTCGGAGAGTGTGAGACTTAAGAAACGTTTCATGATGGAGTTGATTGTGAGGATGTGGAGATGATGATGATGATGATGATGATGATGATGATGATGATGGAGATGATGATGGAGATGATGATGATGATGATGATGATGATGATGGAGATGATGATGGAGATGATGATGATGATGAAGATGATGATGGAGATGATGATGGAGATGATGATGATGATGATGGAGATGGTGATGGAGATGATGATGATGATGATGGAGATGATGATGGAGATGATGATGATGATGGAGATGATGATGATGATCAGGAGGAGAAGGAGGAGGAGGAGGAGGAAGATGGAATTTTGATGATGACGATGATGTATCACGAAGATAGTGATGAATTGTTTTTGGAGAATGAGATATCTTGCAATAACGGTGGCAACGATGGCAATAACGGTGGCAACGATGTCTTCTGATTGCCTCCGCAGGACATAGCTCTAGACATCGACTTCCTACGAGAACTGATTTATCTTACGGAGAATCATTCTACTTCGCAGACTGTCACCAAAGTTCAGTCAGAGCAGGAGTGCATGGAAGTCATAATGACGTTTCACGTTGTCAACGCCCATTACCTTCAGTCTGTGAGAGCATCTCTTGAACCCTGGTGTTGGTCGTTGACTTCATGATCAGCATGATGAAGCTCGACAGTTCTTTGCTGGCAGACTTGATTTCATGATGACTATCGGAATGCATTCCTTCAATGAAGTACAATCACCCTCTTCACATAGATGTCTCTGACGTTGCTCTGGTCTATCAGGATGTTAACATGAGGTCCTGCAATCTCAGGACTCAGGAGCAGGTTCTCCGCACTTTCCAGCATTGCCTCTTCATCGATCACAAGCTTGTTCTTCCTTCAGCCAAGGTCAAACCGAATCTTTCTCTTCTCTCCTCTGCTTTCCTTTCCTATCCTCTCTCCTCTCCTCTCCTCTCCACTCCTCTCCTCTCCCCTAGTTTTCTCTTTCCTGTCCTCAACTCTTAACTCGTCTCTTCACTCTCCCTAACGCTTCCAACGTCTCAGAATCTCATTCGCATCGCCTCTCGTATCATCCACGAGAGCAGAAACGAGCCCAACAACGCATCCTTGCTAGCAAGCAGCCAAAATTGCATCACGTTCCTGGTCAAGTTGTGCAAGACCATGTGCAGTGTCAGTCAGGTGAGAGTGATCTGAGTTGACTACCTTGGGCTTACGTGAGCGAAGGAAAATCTCTTCATCCTCAACCTCATTTCTTCTTTTCGTCAGTTCCCTTCACCAATGGTGAGAAGAGTCTCGGTTGGTTGTGACGAGGAGGAGACGGGGGAAGTTGTACACAGCAAGTATGAGAGGAAGGGAAGGAGAAGGAGGAGAAAGAGGAGGAGGGGGAGAAGGAGGAGACGAAGGAGGGGGAATGATTTTGCGTGTGCTGATGAGTTGAAATGTGCAGGTTGACTACAGGATCGATCCTTTGCTGAGAGGTGATGTGATGAAGTCAGAAAGAAGAGAAGGAGATGAAAGAGAAAGGAGGGACAAGGGAGGAAGAGGAGGGAGAGCGAACAGTTAAGGAGGGTGAGAGAGGGAGCAGGAAGCAAACAGTGGTATGACCAGGGAGCAGGGAGCAGGGAGCAGCAGGGAGGTAATTCTGCTTTTCGTCTTCAGGTCTGCGCAACGAGTTGAGGTCGCTGCCATGGGGGCGGCTGCCGCAGATCTGGCGAGAGGTACGAGATGATCGACTTGCCTGGCTGGCGTGACAAGTTTACAGCTCCTGTCCGACTTATCACAAACTCTGCTGCCGGCTGTGATGGCCACGAGGAAGAAGGAGGAGGAGGAAACCTCGGATCTGTCGACTCTGTGTCACTCCCTTCAAGTACATCTCCACTCCCTCCCTCCTCCTACTCCTGCCCCTCCTGCCCCTCCTACTCTACGTCCTCCATTCTTCTTCTCCTCCATGCTCCTCCTCCATTCTCCTCCTCCTTCTCCTCCTCCTCCACCACCACCACGTCCTCCACGTCCTCCTCCTTCCTCCTCCTCCTTTCCTCCTCCTCATGTTTCCCTGCTTGCCTTCTTCTGACGCACGCAACAGCTCCTGTCCATCATCGTGCGACTCGCTCAAGATCGCATGCGAACTCTAGATGAAGCCGCTATCATTGAGCTCCAGACCTCGTCCTGCTCTCAGGTTCTGCTGGAGATGTGTAGGAGTTGCTCTGACCTCTGCTACAGATTGTCTCGCCCCTGCTCTCGTGCTCCTGGAAGGCGCTCAAGTCAAAGGCTCAAAAGGGCTGGGGGAGATGGGTCATTGCAGCTCTGCTTCCCCTGCAGGTCAGGAAGGAGGGAGGAGAGGAGCGAGCGAGGGACAGGGGGGAGTGAGCGAGGGAGCGAGGGAGCGAGGGAGGAGGGAGAATGGAGGAAACAAACAGATGAATCTGAGGTTGTCATTTGTAGGTTGCTTTAATTGAGCTTCACAAGCAATCGGTTCAAGCGCAGCAAACCTTTCCTCAGCATCTCTTCTCCATCCTTCAAACTGTGAGTGGTCACTTGCTCTGACGTTCTTGGTTGATCTCTCCACTGCTAACAGGACAAGACGGTCGATGAACTCTTTGCGATGATGCGCGTGGGGGAGGAGCAAGATGAGATCTCGTTGGACTCGTCTCCTCCTCATCTTCACGTCGCGCTTGTCGACGCTGCTTGTGAGGTAAGACTTCAATTTTTCACTTCATGTCGGCAGACGGAAGATGTTGTTCTTCCATAACATATGGCTCTTGTCAGAATGTTGTTCTCGCGCATGAAAGCAGTTTGATTCAACTTGTTCTCATCGGCGAGCAAGCCAACCGTCACCTTGACTGTCAAGATCCTCCGCCGCACCTGGAAGCAACACGGCAACTTTCGAACAAGATGGTTTGGGTTCTCAATCAAAGTTTGTCTACGCTAGCACAAGGTCGACAAGATCAAGAAAAGTACAGGTCTTTCACTGCTACACCTCCCGCTCCTCGTGTGCTCATCAAGTTTCAAAGGTCCATTGCACGGCTGGTATTGACCAACCTTCCGATCATTGCGCAATACTGCTCAGGTTTTCTTTCGTCTACGAATGCAAAACATCATTTGTGATTTCTTGAACAAAGATGCTAAAGAGATGGAGAAGACATGGACAAATTTGGTGATGCTGTCGGTCAGTTAGACATGTTGGAAGAGATGGGATGATGTTGTAATGTGAGGTCACAGGAAGAAGAGAACATCATACAAGATGTGATGGTGACAACGAAGAATCTCTTTGAGATAGACAGCATGCATCGTGCATTCTTGCCAGCGGTTGTAAAAGTTGCGAGGAACATCTCAAAGGACCTAGAGAAGGCTGTGGAGGGAGACGAGGGCACGTCTCTCAAGTGGAGCAAGAAGACTTTGTCGGCGATTTACAAGCTGACTACCTCGGATGACTGTAGCAAATTCAAAGAAGAAGTCGATTGTCTGTGGGAAAAGAAACCAGCGAAGGGAGGAGAAGAGAAATTGAACGTGAAGGTTCAAGATGCAGCGAATGTGAGGAAGATGGTGATGAAACTTGTGCGATTCCTCAAGTTCGTTCCTGTGGAGTTCTATGACATGCTTGCGATATCTCTTCTTCCTCTTCTTCTCTGCGCTCTTGAAGTTTTGTCTGCTTGCATCCCACACGACGAAGAGGAGGTGCCAGGTGAGGATTAGATAATGAGAAGAGTGGTGAGACATGTTGACAGCTGATGTTGCAGTGCAAGTGTCGAGGAAAGTCTTGAGGTCGTACATCTCTGACATGCTCCACAAAGATCTGTTGAGAAAGAGCAAGACCAACATGTTGCTGTGTCGCCGTTCCTGTCAGTGGCTGGTTGACGACGATGCACATGTTGAAGAAAGAGATACCAGTGATATCCTCTTCTTCCATGGGCGGATGTTGGCGAGAAGATGTATGACGCAACAGGCCGACGAAGACTCAGATGTTATCGAAAAGATGTTTGGAGACTTGATCTCTTGGTTGGAGAACGATTGCTCAAGCTTGTGGACTCAAAGCAAGAAAAGCGACAAGTCCCAAGACACAGACAGCAAGTCACTGAGAGTGAGAAGGACAGTTGCGGTGCTGAAGGGAATGGTGGCGTGTTTGAGGCGAGTGAAAGTCAGTGCAGAGCAGCAGCGCGAATGGAGAGAAAGAATCGACAACAAACATCTGAGCAGAGCTGTACCAGCTATTCACTTGCTCCTCCTGTCAAGCAGCTCACAACAAAGCTGAGTGACATCCTGTTGAAAGGCCATGACCGAGCCGGAGGGAAGGAGACAAACTCTCTTGGAATATTGCTTGCAAGCATCATGATCAGACTGCTGAACTTGTACAAATCTCCACATTGCGCGTCCAAAGACAACCAAGTCGACATTCTGCTGCAATCAACACATCTCAACGAGTTTCTCCTCAAGTGCCTGGGAGACAGCACAAGTGAAATAGTTACCTGCCAAACTCTCACCCAAGGCTTGCAGGCCTCCTGCGAGTTCGCGCTATCTTGGTGTATGTCATTCCATCGGCTCTTTGCAGATCACCACGAGTCGTTCTCTGCCATGTTGGCGCTTATCATTGCGTTTGACAGCAACAAGTTCAAACAAGACAAGAACTCGCTGGCTGCGATCATGGACGCGAGTTCGGCCAGCACAGACAAGTGGAGCGAGAAGGCGTTCTTGTCCCTCATCTCAAACTGCACGCGCAACGAGCTCGGGCTGACATGTCGTTGTCTGCTCATGGAGTTTTCTCGAGTGATGAAGATGAAAGTCACTGTGGATGTTCACCATCAGTTCGTCAAGGTTGTCTCCCTGAGCAGGAGCTTCCTTCAGTCCTTCTCCTCTGAGTCCAAGCGATGGGGGCTGGTTGCTCCGCTCCTCACACGATTCATGTCCATGGTAAGCACAGAGTACGAGCAGCAGCAGCAGCAGCAGCAGCAGCAGCAGCAGCAGCAGCAGCAGCAGCAGCAGCAGCAGCAGCAGCAGCAGCAGCAGCAGCAGCAGCAGCAGCAGCAGCAGCAGCAGCAGCAGCAGCAGCAGCAGCAGCAGCAGCAGCAGCAGCAGCAGCAGCAGCAGCAGCAGCAGCAGCAGCAGGTGAAGGAGGAAGGAAGAATCGTTGTACAAGGCTCTGAGCAGAGTTGAAAACTGAGACGGGAAGGAGGGTGAGGAAAAGACGATTTGAGGGGAAGGAGACAGGGAGGAGAGGGAGGAGGGAAGAGGAAGGAGGTATACCAGACAAGTGTGTCAACATTGAAGTGTGTTGTCTATCAATCGCATCTGAGTGTTGACCTGCAGTTCTCGGACATGTCTTCTCTGCTGACATCTCTCGACGACATCCAAGGGTCTTGCCTGGTCTGCTGCGAGCTTGCTGACAGCATCTGCCTCCTCATGATGAAAGCCGACAACTTTCCCCTGGACACCCGCGGGGTTCACTGCGGGATAGAGGCGGCCATATCCATCCTGCTGAGCATCGAGAGGAGTGGGGAGAGTGAGGGAGGGCAGCGGAAGAGAGTCAAGCTTGCTCAGCATCTCTTCCCACTTGTGCAATGTCAGACGAAGATGATGAATGCTGCTGTGAGGATCCTACACAGTATCGTCTCCCGACGAACGAGTGAGATCGCTCTCTGCTTTTTCCTCTTCTCAAGTTGTTTCAGGAGAGTTTGCGAGTGTCGTTCCTGTTGTCATCCAGTGCTCGTCTGTGCTCCAAGATCTCTTCACCAAACTTCATTCCTCCATCGTTTTCCTTCAGGTCTCCGTCCATCGTTCCCACCTCCTCCTTTCTCCTCCTCCTGTCTTGTCGACCTCCTGGGCTGATAGTACTTGCAGCATTACGGCGAAGATTGCGACGTCAATCAACTGAAGGAGGTCAAAATCTTCTCCTCCCCTCCCCTACTCTCCTCTCCTCCCCTCCCCCCTCCCCTCCCCTCCCCTTCCCTCCTCTCCCCTCCCCTCCTCTCCCCTCCCCTCCTCTCCTCCCCTCCCCTCCTGTCCTCTCCTCTCCTTCCCTCGTCTCCCCTCACCTCGTCTCCCCTACTCCATGTGCTCAGCGTCAACTCCCCAC